TCTTCAGCTTTGTCCCGTGTATCTCTTTGTCCCACTGTCTCTTTCATTGCCATCTTGCTCCAAACATGGCAAGTGTCAAACTCCAACAATCTTCTCAAAAGTCCTTCACACACAGTGAGGTTGCAGCTTGCTGGAAACGCATCTCCATCCATCCAATCTAGATGGTGGATCTTCTCTTTCTGATGCCGTTTGCCCACAGCGCTGCTGGACCTCTTGCTCAGAACTCTGGTATTGTCTCTTGGACTGCTGTCCACTGTTGATGTTCATTCTCGTGCTTCTAAAACTGCACTCTGTGTCTTCAGGGAGAGATCAGCTTCCTTGGAGCTTGCTTGTTCAGGATGAGGACGGGAAGCTGCAAAACAATTCAGCCAAAAATTCTGGCTGGGTGTTTCTATTTTTTTTTCTAACGATTTTAACCTATAATTTTCTTCCGACCGCTGCCTGTGGAGAATTGATCCAGGTCCGTTCCCCACCTGTAAACGACAGACTGAGAGACTTTCATTATTCACTGTGACTGCATATATTTTCATCACTCCTAAAGGCACACATCTCTACTCATTTTGTTTTAAACTCTGACTTTAAACCCCAACAATGAAATTTTTATTTGTTCTTAACCGCAAACACAAAAATCTTCTTGATGTTGTTGTTAATTATTTTCATCCACAACACTACAAATTATGTTTTCTTTTGTGTCCAGCAGGGGAAGAAGGTGACCTGTAGTGTCACTGCTTCCCCCAGTTGGAGTCAATTTCCCACTCACACTTCCACACTTTTTATTTTCTTTGTTTTCATGATTTTCTTTCTCTCTTTTTTCTTTTTTACCCCATTGTTTTACACCCACACATTAACCTGTTAACTCACTCCTCCAACCTCATCTTCCTTTCACCCCAACAGCTCTCATACAGTCAGCAATCAAATTCTCCATTCATCCTTGAGTACTTGGTCACCTTTAAATGTCACTGTTAATTTTATCAATTTATTTATCATTACTTTAACACTAATCCACTGTTTATTTTTCTTTATTTACTTTCAGTTCACTTTCTCCTATTTGATCACTACGATTTCTTAACTATTATTTTTCACAGAAAATCAACTAATCTACTTTGTCTCCCTATTTGTCATCAAGGAATTCACACACACTCACAGGCTGGTCACTCGCCCCCACCTTTTCTTTCTCTCTCACACACACACACACACATTTTACTCCTCCTTTGTTCCACCTGTGAACCCGCCCCTCGAGGCTGGCTCACACACACTTCATACTTCTTGCAGTCCCATTCAAACTTTCTGCGGGACACTTCTGCTGATTAAGGACAACGCCCTAATCAGCACACAGAGCGGGTGCCGTCCGCTCTTGTACACTTCACAAATCATTCAAACTGCGCCACGGACTCGATACCGCGGCTACTCTTCCCCAAAAAATATAAAACCAAATTAAACCCCCAATTGACTTCAGAGTTTGCAACAATTCGCGACACGGCCGCCTGCCGCTATTTCTACACACCACAAACACACACTTTTAGACACTAATTCTTTTTGTTACTTTAATTGACTCCCGTACTTCAGATGAGACGCCGACTCTAACGGCGCTTTCACACACACTACACCGTCCTCCTTCTGCATCAGGCACTGGTTCAACTCAGCTCGGAATCTAACCGGCGAAAACAACCGATCCTGCTTTTATGCATACTTCAGACGGTGACAGGGACCTCTCCCCGACTTAGTTATTTAAGGAGCCACAAATCCCCAGGTCACCACCCTGGATCTCCTGCCCTGATAGGTCCTAGCACCGCGTCCGAGACTAGGTGGGATAACCAAACCCGTGACACACACAGCCCTCAGCTGGCGACGAGGCCTTAAACCCCGCTTTCTAACTAATAGTAACACAAGTTTCCTGCTTTAATGCACGAGGACTAGCACAGCACTGCCACTTTTTTCCTAATAACTAAGACGGATGAAACACCGATTCTAATAATCCGTAACAAACGTCTCCTGCTTTAACGCACCGAGATGTCCTTACGGGGCGCTAAACATCAACTTGGAGTTCTTAAAAAAGTCTCTTGCTTTAACGCACTGAGATGGACACTAGCAACCTTTTTTTCTACTGAGTGAATTTACACTGCGATACGTTCAACTTAGCGAACAGATAATTTAGGCTTTAAACAATATGCACGGTTCGAAAATAAACAGGTCGTGCTTACCTTTTAATCATGTGAGCTAGCTCTCTGTTTGCCTCGTTTCACGATCTCAGCTCTGCCAATTCATCCTCTCTGGGCCTCGAGCGAATCCCGGGTTTCACGGCACCAAAACTGTTGCGAAATCAGTTTTACCCCGGTTCTTTTATTCGTCGAGGCATCCAGAGACGGCACCGGAACTCAGTAGTTATTTCACAAAGCCTTTATTCATCTTTATTCATCTTCATTTAAGCGTGCACTTCTAGAAGGGAAGACGAGGCCAGTGTGTCCCTCTGCAAAATCTTCACCCCTTTGTTAGTTACAGCCAGTTTTATAGAGGCGACCCCATCATAAAACTCCCCCACAGTGTGCTGCAAACTCTGTCTGTGTCTATGTGCACGAGCACATGAATGCCTATGTGAGCGCACATGAGTGAGTGTGCGTGTAGATGTGTGTGCGTGACAGTTAAAACACTGTGGGTGTAGGTGACTCCCTAGAGGTCATAAAAAACCCATCTCCCTTCCAGACCACAGTTATCCAGTTACAAATGTTGAGACCCCCACCCAAACATTCTCTGGGGAATTTCCACTCAGCATTAACTCCTCTCTGTTTTACTTCCACAGTTCAACTGGGGAGGGTCTCCTATACTCTACTCCTAAGTTCATGACACAGTCAGGCCTTTATTACATTGAGGGCAGTGTCAGTGTCTCTACAATAATTCTACATTCTATGTTAACACATTTCTAAACTCTAAAATAAGCTAAACATTTCTACAACTGACACAAAGTATCACATAATTATAGACGATTTGGAGAAAGTTTTACATTAAAAAAATGAAAGCGAGTGGAGTATATTTGTATTCAGCCACCCTGAGTCAATGCAATGCAATTATATCTGCGTGTCTTTTAGGCCATGTCTATACCAGCTTTGCACAACTAGAGCCTGCAAATTTCGCTCATTCTTCTTTGTAAAATACCTGAAGTTCAGTCAGATTGGATGGAGAGCACACGTGAACAGCAGTTTTCAAGCCTTGCCACAGATTAGCAATAGTATTTAGGTGTGGACTTTGACTGGCCCATTCTAACACGTGAATATGCATTGAGCTAAACAAGTTCTTTGTAGCTCCGGATCTATGTTTAGGGTCGTCGTCTTGCAGTCTCGAGTCTTTTGCAGCATCCAAAAAGCTTTATTCCAGGATTGTCCATATTTAGCTTCATCCATTTCCATCAACCCGTACTAGTTTTCCTGTTCCTGGTGAAGAAAAGCTATCCCAAACCATGATGCTGACATATCCATGTTTCACAATGGAGATGGTGTGTTCAGGTTGATGTGCAGTGTTAAGGTTTCCAATACTCACAGTGTTTTGCATGCAGGTCAAAAAGTTCAAGCCTGGTCTAACATGACCAGAGTACCTGTGCAACATGTGTGCTGTCTTCCCCTATGGCTTGTGGCAAATTGTAAATGGGGCTTCTTGGGATTTTCTTTCAAAATTGGCTTTCTTGTTGCAACTCTTCCTTAAAAGCCAGATTTGTATAGTGCACAACTAGTTCTTATCTTGTGGCTTGACTCTCCCACCTGAGCTATGAGTCTCTGTAGCTCCACCACAGTTGCAATGGACCCCTCGGCTGCTTCTCCTTGCCCGTGACCTGTAAATTTAGGTGGGTAGGATGTAGCTTTGCAGGTGTGCCATACTCTTTCCATTTTCAGATGATGGCTTGAACATTGCTCCATGACACATTCAAAGATTGCGATATATTTTTCTAAGTTAATCCTGCTTTAAACTTCTCCACAGCTTTATCTGTGATGTGTGTTCCATGGTATTTTTAATGCTGTTTGTTCAGTAATGTTTTCTCACAAACCTCTGAGACCTTCACAGAACAGTTGGATTTATACTGAGATCAAAATACACACAGGTGGACTCTATTTACTGATTACGTGGCTTCCGAAGGTAATTGGTTGCACTGGATTTTAGGGGTATCTGAGTAAAGGCGACTGAATACAAATGCAAGCCACACTTTTCAAATTTATTTTGTACAAAAAATAAATGCCATGTATCACTTCCCTTCCACTTACTGGGATAGATAAATTATTTGGTGATTAGACCTTGATGACACATCATGGCAGAATGTAATCCCAGCTTTGAAAGAACTTAGGACAGCAGCCCCTGGAGTCTAGACATTAGTGGTGATGAAGCTGGTGAAGATGAAGACTGAGGCTTGGATGGAGCACTGGCTGAGGTGTCTGAGGTGGTCTGAAAGAGAGAATGACAGAGAGCACATATTTAAACCATGCAAAATGGAGGCTGATTGGCTCAAAGAAGGTAGGCGAGAAGATGAATGGACTAGAGTAATGTTATCAGTATCGACATTGACAGCGTGGGAAATCGGCAGTGATGTAAAGAACAGACAAGCAACTGAGGAAAACAGGCAAATGACTGATTACAGATCTTTTTCAATGAACTTACACATAAGCTTCTTTTGGGTTTGGGGTTGTAATTTACAACTTGTAATGTGACAAAATGTGGAAAAGTTCAAGCTGTGTTATTACTTTTTCAAGGCACTCTAGCTATGTCAAACCAGAACGGTTCTGTTGCCTGGCTAAATCATCTTCATTGGCTCTTAGCATTGTGCTCTATGGGAGCATAAATGATCAACTCAAACATGAACTGTAGAGTTACCGACTGAAGTGAAGTCAGTCCTTATTTATCACTTATTAATTAAACACAGATTTCCTGTGATTCACTGCAAGTTTTCTAATGCTGATTTTTTTTAGAGCACATCAGCTCTGTTTTTGTTTGAATTTCACTTAGACTGGCATGAACACTTTGCGCTGGTGGCCGCTGTCAGAATGCTTCATGTGTAAATGTTCCTATATAAAATAGAAAAAAAAAATGCATGAAGAGACAGCATAATGTAACTCCATGGGTCTTTCGTTTCTCTGTTTGCCCCCACTCAGCAACATCTAAAAAGAAGACAATTCTATTACCTTGAATGCCGGGACCTTTCAATTATTTGTGGAAGGTGAACTCCATTTGCAGAATACGGCTACTCTTGGCGTGAAGTGTTTGAAATGTGCTCTTCCAAGCACAGGATGAATGGCACTACTTACTGTATTCTTATTACTGCTCGCTGCCTTTTCGGCAGAGGGTATATGGAGTGATGCCATTTATCATGCAAGACATGAGGCTGGGGTTTTACAAAACACATTTTCACCTGCAGGGAGTTTGCAAAGCACATCTTTGATGCATTTTCATATTTATTGGGCATCTTTATTTATATTTTTTGCTTGCAGTGAGCAAGCTAGCCAGGATACTCTGAGTGCAGGAGGCACTGTCCTCATGACACAGGTGTCAGAAAGTATTGAGTAATTCAAATGTTGAATGTCCTGTGGGGATAAACCTTAATTTCTTCAAGTGAACACACTGAAAATCCATAAACAAACTGGCAGTGAGAGTGTTTGATAGCTGGACTGCCTGAAGGCTTTATTGGAAGATTACTGTAGTAGCCCCAGGAGGCCCTATAACAGATGATGTGACTCTTGCATGCATGCAGATGTGACAGATGCTATGCTTATGGATTTTTCAATGAGACATACACCGTGCAACTCCCAGGATCAGGAACTATAGCACCTAACAGGAAGCTGTCCTTTAATTTTCAGGCTCCTTAACAATTATGTTGTTCCCTCTAGTTCATTCAAGATTATTTCTAAAAATGCAAAAAGAAATAATTCCCTCAGGTACCGAGATTAATTTTGTAAAACAAAAATTATAAATATCATTTAAGGGACTGGTCTTTGTCTACAGTTTATTGCCAGAAATTCCTTAGGCATCATTTGCTCCACAGAGCACATTTTGTGATATCGAACTCTAGAATAACTTTCACACATTCACATACTGGCAATGTTATTCAGCATGCTGCTTATCTGTCACTTTTGCTTAACAGAAATGACTCAATTACGATCTTTTATTAAGTGCCATGTTTTATACAGATCTCTCTGATGAAGAGAAGATTAACTCCCGAGCCTCTGATTTAACCCCCTAGCTCCAAGACATTTACATAACTTAAAAAAAACCAAAACAAAACCTGGGGGCTTCCATAAAATTTGTTAAATTCACCCCCACTGGCTAACAAACTACTATAACTTAACTGGGGAAACCAGGTGTCGGGTTTTTGATTTTCAATTTTGAAATGCATGCAGTGAACATGAATGGAAAAATAAAAAAGGTTCTGGTGATCATGCACTGAACAAATGTAGCAATGAATATACCCAGTAACTAGTGAATATGAGGTTGTTTTTTAAACAAGCAAAGGATGGACCTAAAATACATTTCCCACTCATATTAATCACAATGATCTTCAGGATCAGGCCAGCCATTAAGCTGATATTTATGTAGTCTTAATAATAATAATAATGAATCAATCTGAATTAGATAGATAGATAGATAGATAGATAGATAGATAGATAGATAGATAGATAGATAATTTTTTTTTAATTTGCTATTGAGACATGTGCACTTGAGATATGTATGACTGTGAGTGAACAATATTCTTGGTCATACTTTTGTCCTTTCTGAAATGAATGTTGAATGTGCATGTTGAGAACAGCTACACTGATCCATCATCGTCATTGTTTTTCTGATTTTTTGTGATTTCTAATGACTTATAGTAATTTTAATGTAAATAAGTTTCCCCTCCATGCCTTGCTTTCCAGGTTTGTCAGTGAAAGTCTCTGCTGTATGTGGGGTGGGCAAAATAAAGGAGAGACAGGCGTGCCGTGTTTCACACATTCATAGTCAAGAATTGCAGTTGGCTAAACAAATTAGGGTTAGGTGAGCAAGGCTCTGCTGCTTTCTTTCTCATCATGATGGTAATGTCACCCTGCTGTATGTGTTGTCACCAACGCTGTTGTTTTTTCTACTGTACCACACTTGAAGAAATTTGTTTCCTTAACGAATGCACGTTAACCTTTTCTATCCTTTCTAAGCAGCAGGCAAAAGTTACATCCAATCTGGCAGGACTATGGAGAAAATCATTCACCCAATCATACAGTAGCGACTTATTACTCTCAAGATAGGCCTGGCCTACAGCATACCCTGCTTTGCCATCATTGTACACACAATTTGGCCCAGAATATACAAATCGAACATTATAATGTGTTCATTAAAACTGGTGTCAGAGCTCATCAATTCATCAGGAGAGTCTTTGTTTGAGGGGATAGATCAAGGGAGGTGGGCATTTCAACACTGACTTCTCTTTTTCTGATACCCCCCCCCCCCCAAAAAAAAAAAAAAAAAAAAAACAAAAAACAAAAAACAAAAACAAAAAACAAACAAAAAAACCAGGGCAAGACAAAAAACAAAAAAATAATGCACACATACCTCCGAGGACCAGAGCTGAATACACATTCCTG